TGATAGCTAAATTTTTTTTAGTTATATAAATAAATGGTTAAACGATTATGATAAATCTTAAATTAAAAATATATTACGATGCTAGTTCAAGTAAATAAATTATAAATTATAAATTATACCCAGGTCTTTTTTACAGGGAGTATTATAATAAGTGAAATTTATATTATACTCAGGTATTATTCTATAATCACAAATGCAAACTCGTAAATTATACCCAGGTCTTTTATATCGGGGATATTATAGCAAGGGGGTACTGTAGTCAGTACCGTACGGTACTTTGGGGAGAATCAAAAGAAGAATTCTACAAAACAAGATCCAAGGTAATTAAAGGTTTAGTTCAAAAAAATATGATAAAAAAAATACAGAAGTCCTTACAATCAAAGAAGCCAAGACATATATCGAGCTCACCTTAGAAACAATATGGAATTGCTTTTACAAGAATATTTGAAAAGGAAGATATAAACTCCTTTGCAGATAGAAAATCAACAAAGGCATCTCAACCAAAGATAAAAAATAAAAAAGCAAGCTATTGACAGAAAAAAAAAAAGTAGAACCAAAACCTAATAAATCAAGATTCAAAGAAGGAGGTATGAAGCAAATAATAGTTTAGATAAAATAGATAAAAAATAAAAAAAGAAAGAAAAAGAGGAGGGTTTAAAGAATATACAAAATTATTAGTTTAATAGCTTTAGAGATTTACTTCAAAATAGCTGCAAGCCATTTTGGTATAGCTTGTATAGCTAACCTAATATTAGCCTTCTGGTTTTGAAAAGATTTTCTAACCAGTGCAGCAGACTGCTTCTAGATACTCATGAGATAATCAGAAAATATTGGGTCTAAATATTAAACTCAATATTATACAATATACTTATATAATAATCTTAATAAAGAATCACTGTCAAAGCTACCAAAGTTAAAAAAAACTTAAATTAGAATAAAGTAGATTTATACTAGAGTTGCTAGTAAAACTAAATTGTACTAGTGAAACTAGTAATTATCTAAATTCTAATTGGCTATTAAATACAATAACCAATCAAATTTTAGATAGTTACTAGTTTTATCAACACAATTTAGTTTTATTAGCAACTTTAGTTTATACTCAGAATTTTATAAAAAATTTTTTTTATTAGAACTTCCAAAGTAGTTTTGTTAATAAAATTTTATTTTATATCATATATTAGTGATAATCACTAGTGGTAATAAATAGCAAATCTTTTAATTTATTTAAAAAAAATTTTAAAAACATTTTTATAAACATATTGTTTTTTAAAATAAAATTAAAGTTATTATTTTTTTAAACTATAAGATTAAATAACTTTTAATCTTGAAATTTTTTAAAATAATTATATTATAATTATAATTATTTCTTAAGATAATTCTAATTATCCAAATTCAATTACAGTATTATAAGATAATGCATGGTCAAGTAAAAATGTATCCTATATATTATATAATTGGCTAGACCCAATTGTATGATATATAGAGTGCATTCTTACTTGATTACGCATTATCTCATGATACTGTGATTAGATTTAGATGATTTTGGGTTTGTTAAAATTGTTTTAAAGAGATGAACACAATGGCAATAAAAACTTCAAAATTAAAAGTTATTTGACTCCACAGTTTAAAAAAAATACTGGCCCTAATTTTATTTCAAAAATTAATTATTAAATAAAAATAAAAACAAAACATTATCTTAAAAAATTAATATTTATTAATTAAAAACTTTTATTAATAAATATATAGTAAATATATTTTACTATATTGGAAAACTAACATTTATCAGCTAAATATACCCTCTCTGTAATACCCTACTAGAGACCCTCTTTTTATGCCTCAAAATTTTGATCCCCAAATTATTTTTAAAACAATTGCAAGTTCTAAAGTAATTAATAATATAATTATAAAGTTTTAATATAATCAATTGACCTCTTGCATATTTTTATGCACCCTTGCATAATTATGCATAATTATGCAATAGGTGCATAAAAATATGCAAGAGGTAAATTGATTACATTAAAACTTTATAATTATATTATTAATTACTTTAGAACTTGCAATTGTTCTAAAAATAATTTGGGGATCAAAATTTTGAGAAATAAAAAGAGGGTTCCTAGTAGAGTATTACAGGGGAGGGGGTATATAGCTAATAAATGTCAGTTCCCTTGCACTACGGTATAAATAAATAAATACTAAAAATTTTAATACAAAAAATATTTTTTAAAAAAATAATACTATTTATTTTAAATTATTTTATTTTTAAATAATTATAACTAACACTACACACTATATTTTTAATTTTTTTTAAATAAACTTTGTTAAAAAAAGTAATTCTTTATCTTGAAAATAATGTTCAAATTTAATTTACAATTAATCTAATACAATTAATGTACACTGTATAAAGAAGTAAATCATATATATATGATAAACAAATTATAAATATTAAAAGAAAATATTATATAGTTAATTTATCACTAAGTAAAATATACTATCATGAACTTCTTTTATATTTTAACAAGTTCTCCTGGGCCTATACGTATTAACCATCAATTAAACACGTAATAATTTGAAAAACTAAAAAAATGTATATTTTTTAAATAGAATATATTACCTCTGATAATGCTCTATAGGATAATATAGGTAATTTTGTGTCATCTTGAGTGAAAATCTCATACCTAATGGGAGGTTCCTAATAATAACCCAATCAATATAGTAAAAAATCACATTAAATTTAATCGATAATATAAATTATTAATGAATAATTATTACGAATGCAATAAAACCTAACATAGACTAATACCTGAATTGGTGGACATAAATCTGATGGAAGATATCTTCCATGGTTTTGAAAGAATAACTCTCTTTGTTGAGTTTCCTCTAAATCCATAAATAACAATTCAATTAACAATTCATAAAATATAAATGCCAACAAAGTTTCGAAAACAAACCAAGGTATAATCCTTCTAATTTGATTGAATAATCTTCTATCAATTTTTCATGTTGTTCTTTAACTTTATGGCGTCGGTCAATTTCCACTATCATGTGATCATACGCCCTGGAAAATTCTTCATACCTATAAAATAAGTTCATTATTCATATGTTTACATACATAGAAGCTATATAATAATACTTACCACATGTTAAGATTTAATAATTCATCTAGTAAACGATCCACTATTACAGAACCTTTTTCAAAGTCGGCCTATAAAAATCAAAATAAATAATTAGTCGTTGCCAATACAGTAATCTTATTTTATTAATCATCCTTTTCCTTCACGATAAACATACTTCAAGTTCTTTGATTGTGTTTGAAATATTCTCAAAACTACTTCCAAAACCATCCAACTCAGAAAATAATTTATTTGCTTCGTCATACGATGCACGATAAATATGATTTATAACGCGCACTTCTTCACTAAAAATTTTAAAATCGGATCAAATTCGAGCAAATAAAGAATTATATATAAGAAGTCATACCTTAATGATTCAATATATTGAAGTCCGTCCTGCAATACTTGGATGATTGATGGAAGTAGGCCAGTGTCATTTTCAAGAACTAGAAGTAAAACTCATAATTCAATATATATATATCTATATATATAGAAATTATATACACAGTATAATTAAAGTATACGAATGTACAAAATTTACCCGAAATATCGAGATTTAAGCTATCATCAGCATGCGATTTACATGCTCTATTATACAAATATAAAAAATATCACCAAAGAATTATAATAGAAAAAAAGATTATAGCCTTTTAAAATATAACTAACTTCAATGCAGATGAAACTTGATCATAATTTCTTGCCAATGAAACTAATGTCTCAGCCATAGTAGTTGCCTCTTGTTCAAGAGCTATAAATTTTTCACGAGCAAAATCTATTCCAGATTTTTCAAGAGAGATATTATTATTTAAAAGCATTTCATCTAATTGTTTCTGTTGAGTGTTGACATTTTCAAGGCTTTTAGAACTAGTTATATAATATTGCTGAAATAAAATAAAATAAAATAAAATAAAACTGATAATTAATAAATGATTCATTAACAAATATATAATAAAATTATA